TGTCCCCTGTCCCCAGGGCGTGTCCCTTGCACACTCAGGTGTCCCCAGGGCGTGTCCCTTGCACACTCAAGTGTCCCCAGGGCGTGTCCCATTCACACACACGTGTCCCCTGTCCCCAGGATGTGTCCCTTGCACACTCAGGTGTCCCCTGTCCCCAGGGCGTGTCCCTTGCACACTCAGGTGTCCCCTGTGCCCGTCCCCTTTCACACACACATGTCCCCTGTCCCCAGGGCGTGTCCCTTGCACACTCAGGTGTCCCCTGTCCCCAGGGCGTGTCCCTTCCACACTCAGGTGGCCCCAGGGCGTGTCCCCTTTCACACACACGTCCCCTGTCCCCAGGGAGTGTCCCTTGCACACTCAGGTGGCCCCAGGGCGTGTCCCCTTTCACACACACATGTCCCCTGTCCCCAGGGCGTGTCCCTTGCACACTCAGGTGTCCCCAGGGCGTGTCCCCTTTCACACACACATGTCCCCTGTCCCCAGGGAGTGTCCCTTGCACACTCAGGTGTCCTCAGGGCGTGTCCCCTTTCACACACACATGTCCCCTGTCCCCAGGGCGTGTCCCTTGCACACTCAGGTGGCCCCAGGGCGTGTCCCCTTTCACACACACATGTCCCCTGTCCCCAGGGCGTGTCCCTTGCACACTCAGGTGTCCCCAGGGCGTGTCCCCTTTCACACACACGTGTCCCCTGTCCCCAGGGCGTGTCCCTTGCACACGCGTGTGCGCAGGCGTCCCCGCCCTCGCTGTGGTTTCGCGGCCGCGGGGAGCAGGAAGCGCCTCGAGCGCGGCCTCCGCCTTCCTGCCACCCCCACGGGGACAGCGCCGGGACCCCCCTGGCGTGGCCCCCGTGTCCCCGGCCGTGTCCCCCGCGCTGTCCCCGGCCGTGTCCCCATGTCCCTGGCGCTCAAGGCCCGGCAGCGGGCGAGGCGCAAGGGCGGCTCCCGGGAGCGGCTCTTCGGCTGCGACCTCCGCGAGCATCTCCAGCGCTCGGGGCAGGACGGTGAGTGCCACCACCCTGCCCACCCCCCGAGCCCCTCGGGGGCCACCAGGGCCACCGGGGCCACCGACGGAAGCGGGGAAGGGGCCCCGGAGGAGACTCGAAGGGGACTTGCGCCACCCGTTGCGTCACCGGGGCTCCAGGAAGCGTCGCGGCCACCGAGGCTCGGCCGGGATTTGGGGGGGTTGGAGCTCGGTGGGGCTCCAATCTCGGGGGGTTTGGCCCTGAGCGGTGGGGGGGTCTGTTCCTTGGGGTTGGTGGCTTCATCCTTTGGGATTTGGTGGCCTCATCCCCATGGATCTGGTGGCTCCATCCTTTGGGGTTTGGTGGCCTCATCCCCATGGATCTGGTGGCTGAATCCTTTGGGATTTGGTGACTCTGTCCTTCTGGAGTTGGTGGCTCCATCCTTTGGAATGTGGTGGCCTCATCCCCACGGATTTGGTGGCCCAGTTCCTCAGGATTTGGTGGCCTCATCCCAGCGGAGTTGGTGTCCCCATTTCTTGGGATTTGGTGGCCTCATCCTGTGGGGTTGGTGGCTCCATCCTTTGGGATTTGTGGCCTCATTCCTGTCAAACCAGTGATCTCAGTGTGGAGTTGGTGGCCTCATCCCTGGAGTTGGTGGCCCAGGACGGGTGCAGGGACCCGGTGGGGACATCCAGGGGGTGCTGGCTGAGGTCCTCCCCATCCCCCAGCGCTGGTGGGGCCAGGGCCAGGCCCAGGTGGGCGATGCCAAATCCAGGATCTGGGCTGGGTTCAGGTGGGCGATGCCGGATCCGGGATCTGGGCTGGGTCCAGCGGGCACTGATGGATCCAGGATCAGTTGGGCTCTGGTGGATCCAGGATCATCTGGGCTCCGGTAGATCTGGGATCAGCTGAGCTCTGTCAGGTCTGGGCTCAGTTGGATGCTCTTGGATCTGGGATCAGACTGTCAGATCTGGGCTCAGCTGGGCTTTGCTAGATCCAGGATCAGCTGGGCTCTGGAATCCGAGCTCAGCTGGGCTCTGTGGGATCTGGGACCAGTGGGACCCTGTGGGATCCAGGCTCACCAGGATCCCGTGGGCTCTGGGCTCACGGGGATCCCGTGGGCTCTGGGCTCACTGGGATCCCGTGGGATCAGGGCTCAGTGGGATCCCGTGGGATCTGGGATCAGTGGGACCCTGTGGGATCCAGGCTCACCAGGATCCCGTGGGCTCTGGGCTCACGGGGATCCCATGGGATCAGGGCTCAGTGGGATCCCATGGGATCTGGGATCAGTGGGACCCCATGGGATCAGGGATCAGTGGGACCCCGTGGGATCAGGGATCACTGGGATCCTGTGGGATCAGTGGGATCCCGTGGGATCGGGCTCACCGGGACCCCGCGGGGCCGGCTCGTGTCCCGCAGTGCCGCAGGTTCTCCGGAGCTGCACGGAGTTCGTGGAGCAGCACGGGGTGGTCGATGGCATCTACCGCCTGTCCGGGGTGTCCTCCAACACCCAGCGGCTGCGGTCAGCGCAGCGGGAACGGGATGGGATGGGTTGGATGGGGTGGGATGGGATGGGATCTATGGGATGATCCATGGGATGGGATGGGATGGGGCGGGAATGAAGACAGGAACAGGGATGGGGAGGGATAGGGATGGGGATGGGGGTGGGGGTGGATCAGGGTGGGATCAGGATTGGGACAGGACAGGGATTGGTTTGGGGATGGGGCAGGGATGAGGGTCAGGATGGGATTGGGAGTGGGATGGGATTGGGATTGAGAACAGGGCGGGATCGGGACAGAGGAGGATGGGGGAATCAGGATTGGGGTGGGAACGGGGTTGGGAATGGAGATCAGGATGAGGATGGAGTGGGGAGTGGGGTGGGATGGGGTGGAGTTCGGGATTGGGATTGGGATGGGATGGGATCAATGGGATCAGACGGGACCAAGGGGATGGGGGTGGAGACTGGAGGATGCCGGGACTGAGAGGGAGGGAGGGGCCAGGAATGGGATGAGAAAAGGTGGAAGCAGGGATGGGACCAGACTCGGGGGGACAGGGACGGGGGGGACGGGCCCATCTCCCCTCCCCCCGGCCCCTTCCCTTCCCCCACCCCGCTCCGGCCCCTCTTCCCCCGCTCCTTTCCTTCCCTTTTTCCCTCTTTGTTGCTTTTGGGGTTTTCCCTGCCCGTTCTCTTTCACTTTCCCCGGTTTTGGGGCGGTTTTCCCTCCTTTGCTTCTTTCCCTGGGTGCTTTTCTCCTCTGTCCTTGGGGAAACCCAGAATTGCCCAAACCCCCATCCCACATTCCCATATCCCAAATCCCAAACCCCAGGCAGGAGTTTGAGGCGCAGCGCAGCCCAGACCCCAATCCCAAATCCCAAATCCCGTATTCCCGATCCCAAACCCCAAATCCAAGTCAGGAGTTCGAGGTGCAGCGCAGCCCGGACCCCAATCCCAATTCCCAATCCCATATCCCAATTCCCAATCCCATATCCCCATTCCCAAACCCCAAATCCCAAGCCCCAAACCCCAAATCCCAAGCCCCAAACCCCAAATCCCAAATCCCAATCCCAAACCCCAGGCAGGAGTTCAAGGCGCAACACAGCCCAGACCCTAATCCCAATTCCCAAACCCCAAACCCCAAATCCCAGTCCCAAACGCCAGGCAGGAGTTCAAGGCGCAGCGCAGCCCGGACCCTAATCCCAATTCCCAAACCCCAATCCCAATCCCAAACCCCAGGCAGGAGTTCGAGGCGCAGCGCAGCCTGGATCCCAATCCCAATTCCCAAACCCCAAACCCCAAATCCCAATTCCCAAATCCCAAACCCCAAATCCCAATCCCAATCCCAGGCAGGAGTTCGAGTTGCAGTGCAGCCCAGACCCCAATCCCAATCCCAATTCCCAAACCCCAAACCCCAAACCCCTAATCCCAATGCCAATCCCAATCCCAAACCCCAGGCGGGAGTTCGAGGTGCAGCACAGCCCAGACCCCCCCAAGCCCCAAACCCCAAATCCCAAGCCCCAAACCCCAAATCCCAAGCCCCAAACCCCAAATCCCCAATCCCAATCCCAATCCCAAACCCCAGGCAGGAGTTTGAGGCGCAGCACAGCCCGGACCCCAATCCCATATCCCCAGTCCCAAACCCCAAATCCCAAACCCCAAATCCCAATCCCAATCCCATCCCAGGCAGGAGTTCGAGGCGCAGCGCAGCCCGGACCCCAATCCCAATCCCAATCCCAAACCCCAGGCAGGAGTTTGAGGCGCAGCACAGCCCGGACCCCAATCCCATATCCCCAGTCCCAAACCCCAAATCCCAAACCCCAAATCCCAATCCCAATCCCATCCCAGGCAGGAGTTCGAGGCGCAACGCAGCCCGGACCTGTCGCGGGACGTTTACCTGCAGGACGTTCACTGCGTCAGCTCCCTGTGCAAGGCCTACTGCCGCGAGCTGCCCAACCCCCTGCTCACCTACCAGCTCTACGACAAGTTCGCCGTGAGTCCCTGTCCCCGGATGTCCCCAGATGTCCCCCAAAGCGTCCCCAGCGCGGCAATCCCCCCCGTGTCACCGCGCTGTCACCGCGCTGTCCCCGCAGGACGCCGTGGCCATCCAGATGGAGGAGGCGCGGCTGGTGAAGATCAAGGAGGTGCTCAAGGAGCTGCCGGCGCCTCACTACAGGTGAAGGGGGGTGGGGACACCCCCGCGGCCCCGGCGGTGTCCCCTGCGCGGGTGGCAGGGCTGAGGTGTGGCCGGTGTGGCAGGACGCTGGAGTTCCTGATGCGGCACCTGCTGCGCATGGCCGCGCACAGCGGGCGCACCAACATGCACGCGCGGAACCTGGCCATCGTCTGGGCCCCCAACCTGCTGCGGTGGGTGCCACCTGTCGCTGTCACCGTCACCTGTCAGTGTTCACTGTCACCGTCACCTGTCGCTGTCACCGTCACCTGTCAGTGTTCACTGTCACCGTCACCTGTTGCTGTCACCGTCACCTGTCACTGTCACCGTCACCTGTCAGTGTTCACTGTCACCGTCACCTGTCACTGTCACCGTCACCTGTCACTGTCACCGTCACCTGTCGCTGTCACCATCACCTGTCAGTGTTCACTGTCACCTGTCACTGTCACCATCACCCATCGCTGTCACCGTCACCCATCACTGTCACCGTCACCTGTCACTGTCACCGTCACCTGTCAGTGTTCACTGTCACCGTCACCTGTCGCTGTCACCATCACCCGTCACCCGTCACTGTCACCTGTCACTGTCACCGTCACCTGTCAGTGTTCACTGTCACCGTCACCTGCCGCTGTCACCGTCAACTGTCACTGTCACCATCACCCGTCACTGTCACTGTCACCTGTCAGTATTCACTGTCACCATCACTTGTCGCTGTCACCGTCACCTGTCAGTGTTCACTGTCACCGTCACCTGTCACTGTCACTGTCACCCGTCACCATCACCTGTCGCTGTCACCGTCACCTGTCAGTGTTCACTGTCACCGTCACCTGTCGCTGTCACCATCACCTGTCACTGTCACCGTCACCTGTCAGTGTTGCCTGTTGCTGTCACCTGCCATTGTCACCATCAGTCCTGTTACCGTCAGTCCTGTCACCCTCAGTCCCATCACTGCCAACCCTGTCACCCTCAGTCCTGTCACCCTCAACATTGTCACTGCCAACCCTGTCACTGCCAGCCCTGTCCCCCTCAGCACTGTCACACTCAGCCCTGTCACACTCAGTCCTGTCACCCTCAGCTCCGTCACCCTCCATAACAAGGTGACCCCACGTGTCCCCCATTGTCCTCCCCACCCTGTGGTGACCCTGCTGTCCCTGCTGTCCCCTCACCCCACAGTGACCCCGCTGTCACCTCACCCCATGGTGACGCCACTGTCCCTGCTGTCCCCTCACCCTGCGGTGACCCCGCTGTCCCCTCACCCCGCGGTGACCCTGCTGTCCCCGCTGTCCCCAGCTCGAGGGACATCGAGGCCTCGGGGTTCAACGGCACGGCGGCGTTCATGGAGGTGCGCGTGCAGTCCATCGTGGTGGAGTTCATCCTCACCCACGTGGAGCAGCTCTTCGGGGACGCGCCGCTCCGAGGCAGGGGACGCCGCGGGGACACCGGGGGGACACTGGGGGGACGCCATGGGGACACCACAGGGACACCACGGGGACACTGGGGGGACACAGCAAGAACATCGGGGGGACACTGTGGGCACACCACGAGGACATTGTGGGGACACTGGGGGGACATTGTGGGGACATCAGGGGGACGCCATGGGGACACTGCAGGGACACCGTGGGGACACTGGGGGGACACAGCAAGAACATCGGGGGGACACTGTGGGCACACCGGGGGGACATTGCAGGGACACCGTGGGGACACCGCGGGGACGCTGGGGGGACACCAGGGGGGACACCAGGGGGGACATCAGGGGGACACCGGGGGGACATTGGGGGGATGCCATGGGGACACTGGTTTGGGGGTCTCCAGCTGAGGAATTCACCCCGTCATTCCCTGATCCTCGCGGGGACATTGACACCTTTTTGGGGTCTCCGGGTGGGGACATCCCTGATCCTGGGGGGACACTGACACACCATTTTTGGGGGTCTCCAGGTGGGGAATCCCCCCTGACATTCCCTGATCCTGGGTGGGGGTCCCAAGGGGACACTGAGGATTCCGGGGTGACACTGTCCCGTGTTGGGGTCCCAGGTGGGGACTGTCCCCGTCACTCGCTGCTCCTGCCCGGGGTGGGGCTCTGGGGGACACTGAGGGTCCCTGGGGTGACACTGTCACATTTTCGGGGTCTCAGGACACTGAGGGTCCCTGAGGTGACACTGTCACATTTTTGGGGTCTCAGGACACTGAGGGTCCCTGAGGTGACACTGTCCCATGTTGGGGTCCCAGGTGGGGACTGTCCCAGGGGGGGGCTGCTCCTGCCCGGGGGTGCGGCCCCCCTGCACGTCCCGGCCGCGCTGAGCCAGGGCGACGGCCCCCCCCAGATGCGGCCCTACCACACCATCATCGAGCTCGGCGAGAACAGGTACGGCCACAGGGACACCGTGGGGACACTGGGGGGACACAGCAAGAACATCGGGGGGACACTGTGGGCACACCGGGGGGACATTGCAGGGACACCGTGGGGACACCGCGGGGACGCTGGGGGGACACCAGGGGGGACACCAGGGGGGACATCAGGGGGACACCGGGGGGACATTGGGGGGATGCCATGGGGACACTGGTTTGGGGGTCTCCAGCTGAGGAATTCACCCCGTCATTCCCTGATCCTCGCGGGGACATTGACACCTTTTTGGGGTCTCCGGGTGGGGACATCCCTGATCCTGGGGGGACACTGACACACCATTTTTGGGGGTCTCCAGGTGGGGAATCCCCCCTGACATTCCCTGATCCTGGGTGGGGGTCCCAAGGGGACACTGAGGATTCCGGGGTGACACTGTCCCGTGTTGGGGTCCCAGGTGGGGACTGTCCCCGTCACTCGCTGCTCCTGCCCGGGGTGGGGCTCTGGGGGACACTGAGGGTCCCTGGGGTGACACTGTCACATTTTCGGGGTCTCAGGACACTGAGGGTCCCTGAGGTGACACTGTCACATTTTTGGGGTCTCAGGACACTGAGGGTCCCTGAGGTGACACTGTCCCATGTTGGGGTCCCAGGTGGGGACTGTCCCAGGGTGGGGCTCCGGGGGACACTGAGGGTCCCTGAGGTGACACTGTCCCCTGTTGGGGTCTCAGGTGGGGACTGTCCCCGGCGCTCGCTGCTCCTGCCCGGGGGTGCGGCCCCCCTGCACGTCCCGGCCGCGCTGAGCCAGGGCGACGGCCCCCCCCAGATGCGGCCCTACCACACCATCATCGAGCTCGGCGAGAACAGGTACGGCCACCTGGGGCCACCTGGGCGCAGGTGACAGCCCCGCCCCACCTCAGGGAACCCCAGGGACCCCCAAATCCCGGGCCTGGCTCAGGTGGTCCCAGCTCACTGTGATCCAGGTGTCCCCAGGTGTGCCCAGGAGTGCCCTGGTATATCCTAGCTGTGCTCAGGTGTATCCCAGGTGTCCCCAGGTGTCCCCAGGTGTATCCCAGGTGTGCCCAGATATATCCCAGGTATCCCAGGTGTGCCCAGATGTAGCCCAGGTGTGCCCAGGTGTCCCCAGGTGTATTCCAGGTGTCCCCAGGTGTCCCCAGGTTTATCCCAGGTGTCCCCAGGTGTATCCCAGGTGTGCCCAGGTGTAGCCCAGGTGTCCTCAGGTGTGCCCAGGTATATCCCAGGTATATCCCAGCTGTCCCCAGGTGTCCCCAGGTGTATTCCAGGTGTCACCAGGTGAACCCAGGTGTCCCCAGGTGAGCCCAGGTATATCCCAGCTGTCCCCAGGTGTCCCCAGGTGTATCCCAGGTATCCCAGGTGTCCCCAGGTTTATCCCAGGTGTCCCCAGGTGTGCCCAGGTGTGCCCAGGTGTCCCCAGGTGTGCCCAGGTGTATCCCAGGTGTCCCCACAGGAGCAAGGGCTCTCTCAAGGCCAAGAAGTGGAGATCCATCTTCAACCTGGGCCGCTCCGGGCACGAGGCCAAGCGGAAACCGGGGAAGGCGGAGGAGAAAGGTGGGAATTCGGGGGGATCCCATGGACTGGGGGGGGCTGTGTCCCCAAATGTCCCCAAATCCCCCAATCCCCTTCTCCCGCCCCATTCCCAGAGAAGTGTGGGAAGGTCACCCTGCGGCCGGCCAAGAGCATGGACTCGCTCAGCTCCGGCCCCTCCGGAGCGTCCGGTGAGAGGGACCCTCTGTCCCCTGGGATTGTCCCTCTGTCCCCTGGGATTGTCCCTCCAACCCTCAGGATTGTCCCTCTGTCCCCTCAGGATTGTCCCTCTGTCCCCTGGGGATTGTCCCTCTGACCCCTCAGGATTGTCCCTCTGTCCCCTCAGGAATTCCCCCACACCCCAGAATCCCCCCAACACCCCGTGGTTCTCCCGCACACCCGGGACCCCCTGCGCCCCGAGACCCCCGCGCCCCCAGGTTCTCCCCGTCCCTCTGCACCGTGAAGGGAATTATGCTCAGCAGATCGGGCGCCCCTCCGCAGGCTCGGACGCCGCGCGGCTGCTGCCGAAGCTGTCGGTGAAGCTGCGGCCGCAGCGGCAGCACAGCTCGGACGCGGCCCCCGCGGCCCCGGAGCCGCCCCCGGAGCTGGACGAGAGCCTGGAGGAGCCCCTGGAAGCGGCGGCCGAGAGCAGCACCAAGTCGGAGCCCACCACCCCCAAAGCCCCCCGGGCGGGGCCGGGGGTCTGCGGCCGCTCCCGCGCCGAGAAATGCGCGGGGCTCCACATCTCGGGCCCCTTCTCGGTCACCGTCCCCTTCCACATCACCTCCAACCTGTCCCGCCTCACCCGGGGGCTCCCGTGCCCCGCGCTGGAACGGGAACAGACCCCCGGCAGCCCCCCCGAGCCCGCCCGGGACCCCCGGCCCCGCTCCGGTGAGACCCCGCGGTGGGACACCCGGGGGGACACCGGGATCAGGGGGCCACCGAGATTGGGGGGACACCGGGATCACCAGGACACCGGGATCGGGGGGACACCGGGATAAGGGGACAGCGGGATAAGGGGACGCTGGGACTGGGGACACCGGGATCGGGGGGATCCCGGGATCGAGCGGGACAACGGGATCAGGGTGAAACCGAGATCGGTGGACACCGGGATCAGGGGGGACACCGGGATCTGGGGGACACCGGGATCAGGGGGGACAACGGGATCGGGGGGACACCGGGATTGGTGGATACAGGGATCAGAGGGGACACCCGGATCAGAGGGACACCGGGATCAGAGGGACACCGGGATCGGGGGACACCGGGATAGGGGAAACCGGGATCGGGGGATACAGGGATCAGAGGGACACAGGGATTGGAGGGACACCGGGATCAGGGGGACACCGGGATCAGGGGGGACACCGGGATCTGGGGGACACCGGGATCAGGGGGACACAGGGATCGGAGGGACACCGGGATCGGGGGGACACCGGGTTAGGGGGGAATTGGGATCGGGGGATACAGGGATTGGAGGGACACCGGGATCAGGGGGACACCGGGATCAGGGGGGACACCGGGATCTGGGGGACACCGGGATCAGGGGGACACAGGGATCGGAGGGACACCGGGATCGGGGGGACACCGGGTTAGGGGGGAATTGGGATCGGGGGATACAGGGATTGGAGGGACACCGGGATCAGGGGGACACCGGGATCAGGGGGGACACCGGGATCTGGGGGACACCGGGATCAGGGGGACACAGGGATCGGAGGGACACCGGGATCGGGGGGACACCGGGTTAGGGGGGAATTGGGATCGGGGGATACAGGGATTGGAGGGACACCGGGATCAGGGGGACACCGGGATCAGGGGGGACACCGGGATCTGGGGGACACCGGGATCAGGGGGACACAGGGATCGGAGGGACACCGGGATCGGGGGGACACCGGGTTAGGGGGGAATTGGGATCGGGGGATACAGGGATTGGAGGGACACCGGGATCAGGGGGACACCGGGATCAGGGGGGACACCGGGATCTGGGGGACACCGGGATCAGGGGGACACAGGGATCGGAGGGACACCGGGATCGGGGGGACACCGGGTTAGGGGGGAATTGGGATCGGGGGATACAGGGATTGGAGGGACACCGGGATCAGGGGGACACCGGGATCAGGGGGGACACCGGGATCTGGGGGACACCGGGATCAGGGGGACACAGGGATCGGAGGGACACCGGGATCGGGGGGACACCGGGTTAGGGGGGAATTGGGATCGGGGGATACAGGGATTGGAGGGACACCGGGATCAGGGGGACACCGGGATCAGGGGGGACACCGGGATCTGGGGGACACCGGGATCAGGGGGACACAGGGATCGGAGGGACACCGGGATCGGGGGGACACCGGGTTAGGGGGGAATTGGGATCGGGGGATACAGGGATTGGAGGGACACCGGGATCAGGGGGACACCGGGATCAGGGGGGACACCGGGATCTGGGGGACACCGGGATCAGGGGGACACAGGGATCGGAGGGACACCGGGATCGGGGGGACACCGGGTTAGGGGGGAATTGGGATCGGGGGATACAGGGATTGGAGGGACACCGGGATCAGGGGGACACCGGGATCAGGGGGGACACCGGGATCTGGGGGACACCGGGATCAGGGGGACACAGGGATCGGAGGGACACCGGGATCGGGGGGACACCGGGTTAGGGGGGAATTGGGATCGGGGGATACAGGGATTGGAGGGACACCGGGATCAGGGGGACACCGGGATCAGGGGGGACACCGGGATCTGGGGGACACCGGGATCAGGGGGACACAGGGATCGGAGGGACACCGGGATCGGGGGGACACCGGGTTAGGGGGGAATTGGGATCGGGGGATACAGGGATTGGAGGGACACCGGGATCAGGGGGACACCGGGATCAGGGGGGACACCGGGATCTGGGGGACACCGGGATCAGGGGGACACAGGGATCGGAGGGACACCGGGATCGGGGGGACACCGGGTTAGGGGGGAATTGGGATCGGGGGATACAGGGATTGGAGGGACACCGGGATCAGGGGGACACCGGGATCAGGGGGGACACCGGGATCTGGGGGACACCGGGATCAGGGGGACACAGGGATCGGAGGGACACCGGGATCGGGGGGACACCGGGTTAGGGGGGAATTGGGATCGGGGGATACAGGGATTGGAGGGACACCGGGATCAGGGGGACACCGGGATCAGGGGGGACACCGGGATCTGGGGGACACCGGGATCAGGGGGACACAGGGATCGGAGGGACACCGGGATCGGGGGGACACCGGGTTAGGGGGGAATTGGGATCGGGGGATACAGGGATTGGAGGGACACCGGGATCAGGGGGACACCGGGATCAGGGGGGACACCGGGATCTGGGGGACACCGGGATCAGGGGGACACAGGGATCGGAGGGACACCGGGATCGGGGGGACACCGGGTTAGGGGGGAATTGGGATCGGGGGATACAGGGATTGGAGGGACACCGGGATCAGGGGGACACCGGGATCAGGGGGGACACCGGGATCTGGGGGACACCGGGATCAGGGGGACACAGGGATCGGAGGGACACCGGGATCGGGGGGACACCGGGTTAGGGGGGAATTGGGATCGGGGGATACAGGGATTGGAGGGACACCGGGATCAGGGGGACACCGGGATCAGGGGGGACACCGGGATCTGGGGGACACCGGGATCAGGGGGACACAGGGATCGGAGGGACACCGGGATCGGGGGGACACCGGGTTAGGGGGGAATTGGGATCGGGGGATACAGGGATTGGAGGGACACCGGGATCAGGGGGACACCGGGATCAGGGGGGACACCGGGATCTGGGGGACACCGGGATCAGGGGGACACAGGGATCGGAGGGACACCGGGATCGGGGGGACACCGGGTTAGGGGGGAATTGGGATCGGGGGATACAGGGATTGGAGGGACACCGGGATCAGGGGGACACCGGGATCAGGGGGGACACCGGGATCTGGGGGACACCGGGATCAGGGGGACACAGGGATCGGAGGGACACCGGGATCGGGGGGACACCGGGTTAGGGGGGAATTGGGATCGGGGGATACAGGGATCAGAGGGACACAGGGATTGGAGGGACACCGGGATCAGGGGGACACCGGGATCGGGGGGACACCGGGATCTGGGGGGATCCCGGGATCGAGCGGGACAACGGGATCAGGGTGAAACCGAGATCGGTGGACACCGGGATCAGGGGGGACACCGGGATCTGGGGGACACCGGGATCGAGCGGGACAACGGGATCAGGGTGAAACCGAGTCAGGGGGACACCGGGATCAGGGGGGACACCGGGATCTGGGGGACACCGGGATCGGGGGGACACCGGGATCGGGGGGACACCGGGTTAGGGGGGAATTGGGATCGGGGGATACAGGGATCAGAGGGACACAGGGATTGGAGGGACACCGGGATCAGGGGGACACCGGGATCAGAGGGACACCAGGATCGGGGGGACACCGGGATCACCGGGACGCCGGGATCACGGGGACGCCGGGATCGGAGGAATACCAGGACTGGGGACACCGGGATCGGGGGAACAGCGAGATCTGGGGGACACCGGGATCGGGGGGACACCGGGATCAGGGGAACACCCGGATCGTGGGAATATCGGGATCGGGGGGACACCGGGACCCGGTGGGGGGCCGGTACCGAGCGCTGCCGGCTCTCCCCGCAGAAGATGCGGAGCAGACCCGGCTCTCCCTGGAGCTCCGCGACTCCTTCGCCTTCCTGGACGGCCCCGAGACGTGGCTGGAGGGCGGCGGGGACGCGGAGGCGGCGGCGCGGAGCCCCGGGACCGGGGATGAGACCCCCGGGATGGGGGAGGGGACCCTCAGGATGGAGGAATGGACCCCCGAGATGGAGGATGGGACCCTCGGGATCCAGGAATGGACCCTCAGGATCGAGGATGAGACCCCCGGGATCGATGACGGGACCCCCGGGATCGGGGACGGGTTCCCAGCCATGGAGGAGGGCATGGAGAGCGGGTTCATGAACGTGAGCACCCAGCGGCATTCCCGGGAGATCAATGGGATCAGTGGGATCAATGGGCTCAATGGGATGGCATCAGTGGGATCAGTGGGATCATTGGGATCAATGGGATCAACGGGATGGGGTCAATGGGATCATTGGCATCAATGGGATCAATGGGATGGAGTCAATGGGATCAATGGGATCATTGGCATCAATGGAATCAATGGGATGGAATCAATGGGATCATTGGGATCAATGGGATCAATGGGATGGGATCAATGGGATCATTGGGATCAATGGGCTCAATGGGATGGGATCAGTGGGATCATTGGGATCAATGGGATCAATGGAATCAATGGGATGGAATCAATGGGATCATTGGGATCAATGGGATCAATGGGATGGAATCAATGGGATCATTGGCATCAATTGGATCGATGGGATGGGATCACTGGGATCATTGGGGTCAATGGGATGGAATGAGCAAGGGGGACACAGTGACACCCACCCGCGGGGTCCCGGCCGTGCCTGGGGGTCCCACCCGTGTCCCCCCAGCCAGGTGAGCGCTGGGCGGAGCAGCCGGACAGTTACCTGTCCATCGAGGAGTGCACGGAGCAGGACATGTTCTTCCTGGCCCCCGGCGCCTCCGACCCCGACTCCGACCCCGACGAAATCTTCCTGAGCGCCCACGACGAGCTCAGCCCGCTGGGGACCCCCGAGGGACCCCCGGGAGAGGGGACAGCCCTGGAGATCCCAGAGATCCCAGAGATCCCGGAGATCCCAGGGACCCCAAAAGTCCTGGAGATCCTGGAGATCCCAGAGGCCCCAAAAATCCCAAAAGTCCTGGAGGCCCTGGAGATCCATGAGATCCCAGAGACCCAAGGGATCCCAGAAATCCCAAATGTCCTGGAGATCCCAGAGACCCCAAAAATCCCAAAAGTCCTGGAG